AAAGTTAATCTCCTTGGATTTCTGAAGTAACGTGTTATACTTCAAAGTACCATTCTGATACAGTACAGTATTGTTATTCGCACATAATCATATGTAAGCCATTTTCCCCCTCCACCGAGATATATGGTACACATTGCATTCATAGTTATTGGTGGTGTTGACGTATGTATGTAGAAGTGCGTGCAGTATTAGTTCAAAGTTTATCTGCTTGGGTTGCTGCAGTAACACTTCAAAGTACTAATTTGATAACGTTATTGTGCATTTCGCCAAATACTGTAGCATTCAAATTCGAATCCATTTGACTATACTTCGAAGTACTTAACAAAGATTAGGATATATAGTATACATGCCTTTGCCCAATGCGGAGGAACTGGGAGATGCGGGAACTGGACGAAAACTCATCACAACACAAAGTTACGTAAGGCCAAAATTGAGGCATTCATTCATGGTTGGCGAAAGCAAAATCTAAAGTTGGAAACGGCGTTTAGTGTGTCAATGCACTTTGAACCTCAGATTAATCCATTTACATTCGATTTCAACGAGTCATCTAAAGAAGACTGAGCAGTGTTCCGATACAGTGATTGCCGGTAAAAGTGGACGAAAGTACACTAGGCGTTTATGTATGGATAACTTGGCGAATACGACAAATTTATCCGACATTAGTCTTATTGGTTAAAAGTTCAGTACGTCGTAGACTTTCATTGGTAGATGACTCTTCATTTTCAATACAAAGACCAAATGTCGTATGTTGGTTTTTATTGAAGTCTCTGTCAAGGTGAGGACTTGAACCGTAAAGGTTGCCACGTGTATTGCGTGTAGAGGTTGCAACATGGATTCGAAGCCTTCCTCACGGCTCATGTCCTCACCTGGTCAGGACATGAACCGTGAGAACACGGCGTGTCTCCGGGTGTCACGTTTATTGCGTGCAGGGGATGCAGGCGACCTGACCATAGCGTCGAAGAGGCCGAGGCACTGGCGCAGCAAGTGGAGGTGGTGGACCTCACAGCTGAGTCGGATGACGACGGCGGAGTGGCACCGATCGAGGACGCGGCTGAAGTGGCACGGGGTAAGGCCGACTGGGAGGCCAAGGCGGCCGTCAAGCGCGAACGGCTTGGACAGCTGGAGGAGCAAGCGGCTGCCGACTTGGTAAATAGCGCCATGCAAACAGTGGGCGCCGAAGGTGTGCAAAAGCTGTTGGAGCAGTACTTGGCAAGAGAGGAGGCTGCCAAGAAGGCAAGAGCGGCCGAAGAGGTGAAAACGAAGGCAAGGCGCGCCGAAGAGGCCAAAGCGATCGCAGCGGCTGCGACGAAGGCGGCGGACGAAGCAACCAAGGAGGCTGCGGAAGCAGCGATGAAGGTGACCAACGAAAGTGAGACTGGGACACCTGTAGGCGATGGGGGACATCCCAACGCTATGGGAGTTGGGGGAAACGAAAGGTAGGAGAGCGGCGTGGGAAGCGCCGTTAAGACTGAGGCCAAGGTGAAGGCCCAACTTGTTGGACCAGAGTGGACCGCCCTAGCCCGAGACAAAGTGTTCGAGCGAGAGTTGAGGTTCCACTGGGATCGCTCTCGCATCTTCACGCCTGCCGGTTGGGGTGGCGTGGACTTGGAGTATGTGCGCGGCGTTACGCGCCATTTGACGGTGGTCCGCGAGTTCGACGAGACTCGCGAGGATTGGGGATATCAGGTGGCCAATGCCGCCGGCGTTGAACGGTACCTGCGCTTGTTTGCAAGCGCCCATTCGTTTAAGTTGCGGGTTCGGTGGATGCTGCTTGCCATGGAGTGCATGCAGCTTGCGAGGGTGAGTTTTCACCGGTTTGATGAGTTCAAGGCCGCCATGTGCGAGTTGCATGAACGGGAGCGTCTGGAGTGCTGGACGGGTGACGTGGGGCGGATCGAGCTTTGCAATCATGAAACATTGCTGGAATACATTGTAGCGTTTGTGTGGACGCTGGTCGGACAAGGCAGCGGGCGGCATGGGCAGTTGCCGCTCACAGCGGGGCGCTTGGCCAACTCGCTATCTAATTTCGCCGGGGTGCGGCGACAAAAGCATGGGCGTTTGGACGCACGGTCTGTCGCGAGGATCGCCGCCCGCGTAAATATGCGGCGCAGACCTGAGGTAAGTGTTGTTTAACATAATCTTCTGATTGCCCAGTTGTAGTTGGCCCGACTCGCACAGCGAACTGCCGACCCGTCGCTGTCCATCGCGATCCCGCGATCGCGCTCGCGTGGGAGTTCGAGATCGCGCGGGCGATCGGCACCCCCTCGGGGACAGGCGAGACGCCAAGCGGGTTTGCGGTGCTCCCTGCGATCGCTTGGTCGAGCGTATGGGCTTCGCCGACGGCGAGTACCTCGACGTGGGCGCGCGAAGATGCGCAGGTGGCGGCGCGATTGTCGGCGGCGCGGCCGGCGAATCCGTTCGTGGGGTACAATCCGCCGTCGGGGCCTCAACAGGGTGGTCAATTGACAGCGGCGGAGCGGCAAGCAGCCGCAGATTATCGGGCGGGGGCGCGGGCGATTGCGGCGCCGCAACAAGTGGTGGTGCCGATGTCGAGTGCGGCGACAGCTGGGGAGTCGGGGGAAGAGGAGAAGTCGCAGGCGGCGGAAGAGGAAGAGCCGTTGCGGGATCCGAAGGATCGGCTGCCGTCACTTCATCCGTCGTAGGAGTAGATAGTAACGGTAAATAACGTTTGAGTTTACCCACATAAAAGATTGGATGGATCTGCCATGAGGTGGGCAGATCGAGCTTGTAGTTGGTGGGACTGACCACGCGAAGAACGGCAAAGGGGCCGTGCCAAGCACTTCGTAGCTTGACATTGGAAGACATTCCAACCGCTCGTGCGCGGAATGCATGGGCGGGCACTGCCGACTTGTGGAGGAGAACTTGTTCGCCCACGGCGAAGGACGCGAGGTTAGAGCGGCCATGTTTGTTGGCTTGAGTTGATTGGCGCTGCTGAGCGGCAGCGATGCTGTCATGGATCTGTTGCATAACAGAGACGCGACGGGAGAGGAAACTCTGAATGGTTTGGAGAGTAGGGCTGGGGGCGTTGGAAAGTACGCCTGCAGGCCGCGCGGTGAGTTCACCCCCACTTGAGGTCGAACCTTCGAGCATTGGAGGGAGGTGGGGGTGTTGGAGATGGACCGCATAATGCGGCGAAAAGCCAGTAGACGCCTGAACCGAGGCGTTGTAAGCGAAAACCGCGTGCCGTAGCGTGACAGCCCAAGAGGAGCCGGTGGAGACGGAGTAGCTCCGGAAGATATCTTCGAGGACGCGGTTGGCGCGTTCCGTTTGACTATCGGACTCGGTGAAGTCGACATATCGAGCGATGTGTCGCAGAGGGCGAAGGGGGTGGACCAAAACTTCGCCGTGAACCGCGGGTCGCGGTCCGAAACGATGGAGCAAGGTAGGCCAAAACGACAGCAAACGTGGTCGAAAAAGATATGAGCGGCATCCGCGCCGCTCAGCGTGTCTCGGACGGGGACGGAAATAACGTACTTCGACGCTCGGTCGACACAAACCATAATGCCGCGGGCGTCGCGGGGCAGGCCAAACATGAAATCCATGCTGACGGACGACCAAAGTTCGTCGGGAAGGTTGGAGTGGAGCCCGAGAGGAGGCGGTGATATTAGTGCGCTGGCAAGCGTCGCAATCAGCGACGTAGCGCACAACGGATTTATACATGCGGGGCCACCAGAATGAACGCGCCAGGATCGCGTGCATTCTGTCGCGGCCGAAATGGCCGCCGCTGGGGGAGTCATGGTAGGATCAAAGGAAAGTGAGGCGCAGTTGCGCGTCACCGGGCACAACAATGCGCGGAGGTGAGTCCGCCGTGGGTTGAAACATCAAAAGCCCATCGGCGAGGGCGAAGCGGTGTAAGGCCGACGAAGCTCGGCGGGGTTTGGGGAAACGGGGTCGGTGAGCGCCGCCAGGCGCGACGAGCAGTCAGCGTCAAAGGGGGACGCTGCATGAATTCGATCGTGAAGACCCGTCGTTAAAAGACCGATCGAGGTCAGTTCGAGATCAGGGCGCCGAGAGAGGTCGTTGGCCAGAATGTTGTCCTTTCCGGGCTTGGTCAGGGCGTACTTCATGGAGAGAAGTTCCAAATCGTGGACTGGGTACGCCCGCTCAGCCGCGTGAAGTTGGCGGCTTTGGGTAGGAGACCGGGCGAGAGTGACCGGAGGCGTCGTGCTGCATCAGGCAGCAGCCAAATGCGAATTGCGAAGCGTCGCAAACGACGGAGAAAGGTTTGTCAACGTCTGGGAACGCCAAGATCGGGGTGCGTTGAAGGTTGGTTTTGAGGCCGTCGAAAGCCTCTTGACAGGCGGAGTCCCAAACCGGCCTCATTAAGGAGAAGCCGAAACAACGGCTGGGCGATGTCGGCAAAGTTGTGCGAGAATATATGCAGGTAATGTCGCAAGGCCCAGCCAGCGACGAAGCTCCTTGACCGAGGTGGGGATAGGCCACTCCGGAATGGCCTTGATCTTTTCGGGATCAGCCCGACAACCGATCACCCCCACTGGGATTTCGTCAACGCCAAACATACATTTGGCGAGGTTGGCATAAAGTCCGTTGGCACGGAGGACTTCAAGCACCTTGCGGAGGTGGCCGCGATGAACGTCGAGAGCAGATTGCGTGGAGTGGTACACTGTACGATGCATGACTTGTAGAGAGTAGTGAAGTGATCGAAGGGAACTGACTGATTGACTGGATAATGAAGTTACTTTTGGATTTGTAATCGAGGTCACCGTTGTGAACACGGTAGTCGTCGGTTGCGAACACCGGCGCAAGACAACAGAGATGCAAAATAGCCCCGAGAATAGGCATTACATGTATATATATGGGTTTCTAAGCTGAAGTAAGATACAGTTCGTCGGCGGGGTCGAGTTATGATTAGCTAACCACAAACACAACGTTCGTGCAAATCAAATTGAGAATCCAAGTACACTGGGGGCCAATAGAAGTGCCTCACGTACTGGGACTACGTCCAAAACTACGCGACCATGCCAAAAGCAACCACTACATCCAAGCCTACCCTCAAACCCACTCGAACTTCAACTCCGGTCACTACCCCCAAGCCTTCTCCAGCCCGTACACCAGCCCGTACACCAGCCACTACTCCTGCGTCTACTGCCAAGCCAACGCCGGCACCCACCTCTGATCCTTCCTGTCCCCGTATTCGAAAGTCCTGGGATACACTCACCGCTGCCGAAAAAGAAACGTTCGTGTCCGCGATAGAGATCGCCATGGATCGTGGCCTGTACCAAAAGTTTGTCCTCATTCACCAAGAACAAATGGGCAACCGCGAGGCGCACGGCACGTGCGTGTTTCTGTTTTGGCATCGCAAGTTCCTCCTCGGGTTTGAGAACATGCTGCGCAGTCTCGGGGGCCAATACAAGTGCCTCACCCTTCCGTACTGGGACTACGTCCAAAACTACGCGACCATGCAAAACACCCCCCA